CAGTGAACTTACGCGACTTTATTATTTGGAAGACAATCAAGGCCCAGCAAAACAACTTCTCGAACATTTTGGAAGTTAACCTCACGATGACGTGTAGATGAAACAACAGCTAAATAACGAGCATGGTTTATTGCACTAGCAGCCTCAATTGTAGCTGGCTGTAATCTTACAGCCATTGTAAGATTATCCTGAGGAGATAATATATTTAGCATTGCTTGCAAATGTCCTTCAATTTCACCTGAAATATAGGAAAAGCTATAAAAGAAACGCCATATATTTCAATTCCCAATAAAATCTAAAACACAGCAAAAAATACCTTGCTAGGGATGAATTATCTCTGATCACTTATCTGAGATCTTTCCATCCTATAGTGTAGCTTTCATTTCTCTTTTATATTTATGTACATAAGCTACCTCTTATTTACTATACTCACTTTCTTTTGTATCATTACTTTTACCTAATTCATATTTCTTGAAAACCTTTTGCCAATATATTGATTACATTAATTATTTATTATTAATCGATATAATGACTTGAATTGTTACACTTACCACCAGTATTATGATGTCCAACATTTGTACGATCGGGTTGCAATAAAATTACCGCAGTACCTTTCACGTAAAAATAACATTCCGTACTTGGAACAGATTCTCTAAGTGTTGGCGAACCACATTCTGATGCATCGATATCCTGAAAAACATTAAAAACATTCTGGTGATAAAAAAAAAAATTTCGTTAAAATTTAACTCCATTAATATTCAATAAAACAAAAAAAAAAAATGAAAAAATTTCAAAAGGAATGCAAACTGTTACCGTTTGATCAAAATTGCCATTTTCACTTGGTGTCGGTGAACGTTGCACCGTTACCAGTGACATTATCGAATTAAATCTGAAATATTTACACCTGTAACGAATAGCAACAATGGTTTGACGGACGTAAATAACCGTATTTAACTTAATCTCTTAATCTATATAAGCACAAATTAAAATTAATCATATATCACATTAAATAGCATACCGTTACACTTAATTCTTCTTTGTTACTTATTTTTACAATAAAATGAGAAAAATAAGATTTTAACTGATATGTGTTTCCAATCACTTTGGAGCGCAACTAAACAAAAAAATCCACTGAAAGCTCCGATAGTTGACATTTTAAAACGATTTAGAGTATGGAAATTAAAGAATAATTTGGAAATTAATTTAACTATTGCTACAAGCTAATGCCTATCCATAATGAGTGGAATAATAGTAAAGAAAAACTAGAAATGAATTTTTCAGTGAATTATAGCAGAATCAGAATTAGGATGAAAACCAAAAATCACTTTCTAAAATTTGATAATCCGAGAAACTGCAAAATTAAATATGCTGCTGTGCAATGCACTACATTTTTACATACAGCATAGAGCATTACGATGATAACACCTGAATTTTCTACAAGGTGATAAATGTATTTTACATATTGATAAAATGATAAGATATGCATAGCGTAATTTCATATCGACATAACATAACAATGCATATTTCGTAATCATTTGTAATATATACAAATATTATTTGTTAAGCTCATTATAATTACATACAGATAAATACAATTTTTTTTTTTTCATTTAATATTACCTTTAATATATGATCCAATTACACTGATTAATAAAATTAAACAAACAAACAAAAAATCTATCACCAAAAACATTAATCAGAAATTTAGCTTTCACGTGAAAAAAATATCATCAGGTAAGATGCGATATCACGTAAAAAATACGCTAGAAATACGGGAACAGGACGAGAGCAAATTCACAGCTAACTTTTCAATAATAAAACATTGTAAATTTTTGTTTGAGAATATCAGAAGAATCGGGCGACCGCGAAATAGCAGCGGTAGTTCGGCACGCTCAATGTTTTGAACTTTTGACAGTTGACTAAGTGAAGAAAGAGAGTTGCGATGGCATTCATATGCAATTATCGATTAGGCTTCTTGAAAAAAATTATCGATTAGAGTGCTTGAAAACAAAGATGAATTATTATCGATTAGGCTTTTTGAAAACAAGAATGAATTGTGTGTATGGAATGTTTGTAAAGAGCTTCTTGAAATATAAAATATTTCTATATTTTTTTTTATTTCTTTTATTTTCTTTGTAAAGAGCTTCTCGGAATGATGTTTTAAGTAGCTTTTTGAAATACAAAAAATTATATTTTTTTATTTCACGTACTTCGACATGTTGTTCCATTTTCAATTTTTTTTTTTTTTCATTTTCTTAGCTTAGTTTAGTTTTCATAAGGCGCTTTCTTTTTTTTTCTTTTTTTTGCTTCTTATTTTATGGCCATGTTTTGTTTTATCCTCTGTGAAGGTACTATTTCACAAGAGTGCTTCGAGAGGGACGGATCAATATCATTATATATCATTCAGGTAAAGATATAACTTCTAATGATACAATATCATATTAGTATAATCTTCGGAAAGCTGAATCATTCCAACGAAAGGTAACTGTGATCGGATTATCCGTATTTTGATCAGTTCTGAAATTCTCTAAAAATCGGTCAAACAAACAAACTAATAGAGGAATTTACAGGTACTGTTTATTAACATGTTGTTTTTATTCTTGTTTACTTTTTTATGAGTCACATTGCTAATCTTTGGCATAATAAGCTTGTAACACGAATTTTACTCTGCATGATAAGATTTTCTCGTTTTCCTTACATTAGTAAAGAAGTAGTCTTATCAGATATCTTTAGATCTCTCTTAGTGATGCATAATATTTCAAGGAAAAACTATTTCTCAAGATGAAATTCAACACGTCGACCATCAAAACTCAGTGTTATTTGATCCTAACTTAATATTCTCGAAATAAGGCTCAGTACCATCAAGCATACATCTTGCATTATTATCACCAATATTTTCAATAATTTAATATTATTTGGTTATATCAAGTAAAAATTTATGTTTAATTTGAAATTTATGATGTATCATCAGTTTGCTGATGAAGTTTTTTTTTCTTTTGTACAAGATATTTAAATTTATCACTAAGCAATTACATCACCGAGTGGATAAAATCCATTCACTGTACAGATTTAAGCTATTAATAGATGTTTCTCCAGAAAAAAAGAAATCCACAAATTCCTGAAAATGTTGTACATTGTACAAAGTCACAATATATGTAACAGCCATGAACCAAAAATCACAATATTTTCTTTTTCCTTCACAAAAAGCACTTCGTTAAAATGAAATTATATTTAATCGTTTTACCGAATATAAATACGAAATTATCTGAATGTGCGCTAACGAAAATCACTGACCCATTTTAAGCTGTACCAGTAAATTAACTAGAAATTAAAAAATCGAACTTTCAAAACTAAAAATAAATTTTTACCATTCTTGTTTATGATTTCTTATCTCTTAAATTTTGCATTGACAAATGGTGAAGAAATTTTCGGATTCTTATACTTTATAATAGTACATACAAAAAGCTAGAGAGGTTCGATCGATAGTTCTCTATTCAACGTAAATTTAAGTTGCCATCCCGATCGAGAAAACTCTTAACAAAATTCATCCCATTCATACATTTACACTGGCAATAAACATAATAAATTAAATTTAGATTAATAATAAACACCGGGAATTTAGGAAAATTTTCTTGCTTCTATCGTAATATTTATTTTTTTGAACAGAAGGACTAAATGGAAGAATTAGCAACTTGTCCAGCTCCTCCTTTGACGTCTATATTCACAGCATCCCTCGCTTCATAAAATAGAATATATGCAGATTCACTGTTTTTTTGTACACCACATTCCGAAAGACCGAAAAAATCCTCAATCGCCACAGGATCAATTTTCTGAAGATCAACTTTTTTTTTTTTGCAATAAATACAAAAGGTTACAGTTTTCATTATTTCTTCCATTGTGAAATATATAGCGAGCTAATTTCTCTTCGAAAACTCTCATTCTTTAATAAAGTCCTCTTTTTAAAATTGTAAAATCATTTACATCAACTATATCGTCATCGAACAGAAGCCAGAAATTATGCGATTTTACAAGCGTAATATAATGACCACGATTTGGCGTAGAACCACAATGTACCACAACTGCACATAAATCATACAGACGATCCCTGTTCACTGCATCGTCACTCTGAGCAAACATCAAACTAATGAAAATAAAAAAAATCTATATTTTCAAGAAAATATACAAAAAGTGAGATCTTAGAAACCATAACATATTCATGACTACAACTATTTCATAGTTTTCATCAATCTAACATCATTCGAGAGCTGTGAAATATGTTTATTTTCACATATGTCAATGTTTTTTTTTTTTTAAAATATAATCTTCTACTGTAAGTCATTTTGTTGAGTAAAGCACTAGTTTTATGTGAATCATTCGATCTTGCTAGGAATGTCCCATATATCCTCAAGAGTTCGCTTTTTTATCACGAACATATATACTTCACTTATGACCAATGTGAAGTATATGTGTTCGTGATCAAGAAGCAAACTCTTGGAAATATATGGGACATTCCTAGCAAAATCGATATATCTCTAAGAGTTCGCTTCTTCATCACGAACATCCAGTATACTTCATCTATGACCAGTGATGTCAGCACTGGGTAGAATTGCAAAGAGGGAGCGATAAGAACGATGCTAAGGTTAAAGACTTCAAAGAAGTACACCGATCCTTCAATACGTCACTTCTTCAGTTTCATTTTTTATATGTAAGAAAAGATGAGCTAAAATACACATAAGAAAAAATGGAACTAATATATAATTATTTACCACATTGAAAAGACGTAGTTCAAGTGGGAACAACACTCGATATGACAATTTTGTATGGCGATTCATTTGTTCAACATATTTAAATCGTTTCAAATGCAATGCCAACATCTGTGGTAATTTTTTAATACGCATACGTTTTTGAGCCTGCAAAATTTTCAACTTTTTTTTTCCATACGGGCATTATCGTAAACACAAAAAGAGAAGCAAATAATAGAATTATTACAGTGAAATTCATTAAATATAAAAGGAAAACGCTTAAAAGAGCACGCAATACCTCATGCTTTGAACAACAATTTTCACAGTAATATTTCTGTTCCCCTTGTAATGTTTCCATGTCAGAAAAGACACGTAAACAATGGGTGATTGATGCATTCTGTTCAACATCAACGCTTAGATCCAAAAAATCTTCATCCTTACTTGATACCTAAACAGTAAAAAAAGACGAACATATTTTAATTGATCATATTATGCTAATCAAAGGAAAAACTATATTTTTCTCTCACATTAATTTTAAACTGTCCATTACTAATATAGAAATGAATTACCCAGCAATCTCTGTAATTTATTTTTAAACAAATTCCAAAAAGAAATTACAAAGATTGCAAAATGAATTATATGGTATTCAATCCATGTTCGATTATAAATGCTAAATATCAAATCCCTTCTTTCAGGAATCGCCATATGCAAGAGATTTTAAAGACAAAATTTTGTATAGGTTCTGAAGGGAAAAGAATCACATGACAATTTATATCTTAAACTAAAAATTAAGAGAATTGCAGCAGAGATTTCCAACTAATTAAACCGGCACAAAAAATTAAGTGTCGATCTTGTGCTTCATAACTTTGTATTTTAATAAAATTCATCACACCAGTTCTCAGCAAATGTCTGAGTCACAGTTGCAAATCTTTTCAATATTTGATATATTTCAATACTTAATGCACTCTAATTTCACAAATAACGCAAAATCTATGCTCATTCCTGAGACACAGTTCCAAAAATTTATATTTTTCCAAAAAAACTCAAAAAGTAATAAAAAATACTTGTAGAAGAAATTAGTGGAAAAAAAAGAAAAGCGCACCGTCTCACAATTAAGGCAACGTGTTTCATTAGTTAAGGTCCCTTGGAAAATTTCTTGAATCCATGTAGCGTCACTTCTTGAGCCACTTAAATTGAGCAAATTAGTTTAACTTAGAAAAAGAACATTCAAAACACTTTCTAGTTTGCAAAAATGCACCAGCAACAATTAATAATAAAATTCAAGAATAACTGCGTCCGTTAAGTATTCTTGCTATATATGCAGAACATAAATTCTCCTTCAGGACCCTTTTTTTATTCATTCCTATCTCGATTTTGAAATTTTCAACAAGTTTTTAAAATCAAAAACAGCTTAAAAATAAGCAGACAAATGGCTATTTCACCTTGGTTGACAAAATGCCAGTGGTTCATGCGGTGAAACGACGACACCGGAGCCTTTCTTCGTCATTCCATTTGTACGAAGTATTTTATCCATTTTTTCGGCTTTTTTCTCCTCAGCAAGCGTTTCTGATATTGTATTTAGCAAATAATTTAGAAATTCATGGGCATCCTGTTGTGAAAAATTATCAAATATATCTGAAATAATATACAGATTATTTGCGGTTCTTCTCAAACCTATGCAACGATGCAAGTTCCATAAATTTTTTGCTTCTCTCAAAAAGCTTCAGTCAAGAAAAAAAGAGGTAACATTTTTAATAGTATTTCTATTAAACTATTAATAAAAGGGTAGGAAATTCGCTGCCTTTCAAAAAAAAAAAATAACTTCAATCTTTTTCATGATGAAGAGATTAGCATTAAACTAGTTTTACATAAAAATAAACCATTTTTTCTTTAAATTTCAGTATTTCAGGACAAGAAAAATCAAATTTCCAAATGAAATTTAAAAAAGACACGAAAGGATAATTGTTTCCCTTTGCTGCGGTACTACATGGTAATTGGGAATGATTTATCACCTTATTGAATAAAAGGCAGATATAAATATATCGTGTATTTACCATTTTCTTTTTTCAATTTTGTAATAAATCTTTTCGGGGCAATGGTGCCCACACGTTTCTTCTGCGTCGCTATATTATGGAAAAGATCAGCAAGGCAGGTCAATAAATTTTCCTTATCTCTTCCTGAAATCGATGAATTCAAAAAACAAAAAAGGGATAAATTAATGAATAAGATACTAATAAAAGGTTATGGATGAATTAGGAGGATACTAAAATGTTAAAAAATGTGCTCCATTATCTTAAATAAAATACTTATCATATCAAACGACCTGATTCCTTATCATATGATTTCTTCAACTGTTGCTTATATTGTAAAATCTTTTCACGGAATGGACGACAAAAATAAAGCGCCTGAATAACAGAGTTGCAATAACAGGTATTGCCGAACTGAAATGAACAAGGAACGATAGTAGACATGTAAACGATTAACAAAAATTCATCAAAAAAAAAAATTGGGATCTAGGCAAAATAAAAAAAATTATTCACTCTTGAAATAATTTTTTCTATGTTACCAAATGAATCAAATTAAAAATTTTAATTGCCAGCATTTTCTAGTTTTTTGCAAAAATAATTTTAATACAAACATTGACCAGTCCATAGAAATGTTCATTGCTTAGTAAATTATCCGAACCGATTTCTTTTTCCAACTGAGAGGAAGCATTAGCACCCTGAAATAAATCGAAAGAAAAAAAAGATGATTTAATGTTTTAATACATTTTTGTTCATGCCTACTTCTAGTACAATGTTACGCGAATGCAACAATAAAAAGTTTAGTGTTAAGCAAACGCAAGAATGAAAAACTTAGTGTGACATGAGCATATATAAATATAAATATAATGATTTCATTCACTATATATCCTTGATAAAGATAAAAGTGCAAAAATTTCAAGTCTGTTTTTTTTTAATTCATAAAATTCAGGAAAATGCAATCTTTTTTTTTCACTGCATTAGTATTCGATAAATGCATAATTTCCCGATAAAAATTTTCACATGTAGAAATTTTACATTACTAAACTCATAAAGTATTACCCATATGTAGGAGAACAAAAAAAAAAAAGATAAAAAAAGCGAACCATGGTTAGGCAGAATAATTAAACAGTACAACTAGTAGACCGGTTTATTTTCACCGTTTGAAATTATCCACTTGTAATCCATCGATTTTTTAACCTCATTTTTCAAACATCTTCATCGCAAACAATCACTATTCTGAAAATCCAGAAGTTCAGTTATGCGCTTTATAAATTTATTTAATTTTTCAACCTGCTATCATCAGTCGATTTTAATATCAAACCTATTGCCTAACTTCATTCTATACATTAAATTAGATGAAGAAATATTATATATCTTAGATTCTCTCTACTTCCCAAAAGTTAATATTTGGTATATCATTACATTAAGAGAACCCGCTTATAGCAATTGTTTACTGTGCAGTTATATTATTGTTCCAAATTTCTTTCATCCCTCTCTCTCTCTCTCTCTCTTTTCTAATAATATATACATTAATTTATCTGATGTATGATGATCCCACAATCATGGATAAAAATAATGAGCAGTGTTGTGGAAGTATTGTAGATTGACTGATGTTAATTCACAAACAAATTATTTGTTACCTAAGATTTTATTTTATAGTTAAGAATTTTATCTGAATAATTCTAGCATTAACAGATGAAATGGGTAGCAGAATAATGTAATAATGATAGTTGCTAGCAATGACGAATAAGCATATGAATGTTGAGAAATGTGAAAGAATGGAAAATGGAATGCATTGATACGAATATTGGACTGTTTATATACCCAATATTGGACGCTATCATGATAATAGATAATAGATAACAATATCATGTTGAAGGAAGAAATAATGGTAAAAGAGAGAACTTTATATGATCATCACTTGTTAGCTAAATTGGTTTCAAACGTAAGCAACAAACAAAGAACAATCAAAGGACAAATGCATGGTAAAGCTATCTCTCTCAAGTGATATTATGGTAACATAAAGAGGTGATATGATAAGAAATAAATTTTAACAAAGATAAAATTGTGAAGCATAGCTTTCTTAGCCTAACCATCAAAAATGACATAATTCTCAATCTTTCTGAATAATTTTATCATAAAATTTCGGATTTTCTGACAAGCAGCTAGATTTATAAAAATGGAATAAGTAAAAATATGATAGGGCAAAGATTATGACAGAAAGTGTAACTACTTAATTATTGTGGCCATGTTTTACAAAATTAATGACGCAGACGTGAAGCAATACGGAACCCTACGTGTGCACAACATTCCTCTAAGTTATATCCGATTTTTCCAAAGCGCCAATTCACGACAAACAGAAAGAACACAGACCGTAAAATACCATCCGGCCGGAAATAATAAGGAACCGGATGAGGAAGTGTGTGAGGAATTGATATCGATGAATTTAAGGCTTCCATCGATAGGATTAAGGTTTTTGCTAGTAAAATTTGAAGTTCGTATTGAAACCTTTCTTGCTGAGAATAGAAATAGTGTGTAATTTGCGTATGTGTCTATGGCTAGCATAATGCAACCGCAGAAAGCATGCAATCTCTTCTTTTTCAATTGCAAATATGCATTATAAGCCATATTTATACTATTAATTGTTTATTCGCAAAATACTTTACATCGAAAAAATATATCCCATATATATTTGTCTAAAAATTAAAAAAAAAAAAAACAGATCCACTGGATGATAGAAATTCAAATTGTTTTTCATCTAATCATCATCTCCTTTTCTTGGATATAAAAAGAAAAAGAAAGAGGCATAGATATGGCTACGTAAACGAATCAAACTGGAAGATAAATTTGTCTGATAGTTTATTTCATTATCAACACAGATGTACCGGTAATAGGATGATTCAGGATTTGGATGTAGTGAAAAATCTGAAAAACAACATAGTCCAAGACAAAATAACAAAACAATAATCACAGACAGAAATTTGATGTTAACATTATGTATGCTTCCTAAAATCGGCCACTATAATAGTTCGACGGAAATTCGACCCGGTATTGTCCTTCACCCTGCGCCGTTGCTAGATAACCCACATTCGGTACCACATTCCATCTTAGTACAAGCGTGACATTTTTGTGATTCAACAGATTCATACCATCATCCATAAAGTAGTATTTCGGTGTAATATTCTCCTCATGTACCTTCGACCATTCGCCACGTCTCAACACTTTATCCCAAAGTACAATCTGTAGTTATCATATCGTAATCTTAGTTTTAAGATATTTGTCGAATTATAGATAGAAAAAAAATTTACTGTGCTACTCGGGAAAATGTTTAGATTAATTATAGACTATGCCTTGAAATTATATTTCATTTTTTCTCATTTTACAGTCAACACATGTTATTCAAGTTTACAATGTTTATATGTCGTAAGCTTTATGCAGTATTTTTCTCCCACATCAGGCAACGATATGTACCTCTTCTAAACTGCTACAATTACAAGATCTAACTTACACATAAAAGTCAATAACTTCTTTCTATTCCATATTTTACCCCTAACATGACGGTACAAATAAGAAAAAATACTGTAAGGAACTAAAAATTCCGTAACACACAGTTAAAATAATATGTAAGTGAAATATCCACCAAAAGACAAGGGAAATTGACTATCTCTATTTTATCAATTAAGCTTTTTCCATTTTCAAAATATAAATATATAAATTTCGGCCATAATCAATCCAATCTTACTTGAGCTTCTCTCTCTAACCTCGTATCGTACTTACTCCTATTACTTTTTATTATCATTTCATTATGTCTAAAAGTTCACAAAGGATTTGGATAATAGGAGCAATATTACAATATTGTAAAAAGGTTTATTATTATTTTTTTTCAAACACAAAGCGTTATATAAAACTTGAAAGCTACACACCCTTATGAGAAAAAAAAAAAACTACCTGATTAAGAGGTGTTTTTGGCGTACTGTACTCTGCTACTAGGAACATAAAGATCTCTTTAACATTCCAGTTAAATATTGAAGCAACATCAACCTTGATACTCAATTCTGCCATTACTACATCACTCCGTGAATCTTCTGATGTATAATCTACGAAATTTTTCCTAAAATCTTAGTATTTTTCAAAATTCATAAATTCTCCGTGTAAAATGTAATTTGCAATTCCTCGAATTTCTGCAGATTATGCAACTTTCTATTTATAAATTGAAGTCAAAACCGAGTTATGACATATACTAACAATGTAGACTGCTAAAGAAACAGAAAGTAACTGACAATCCATGAATGAAATACGGTACAATACTTTTGGTGAAATAAATCTTTCTGTATGACATTAATTTTAACCTATTTTGAGCATGGCTTAACTAATTAACTTAGCTCCGGATTGAAGCATCAACATGGGCAAAAAAGTAATTAGCAGCAAAGAACTTACACGCGGATATTATTCGCGGATAAAGTAACTGGTGCAGTATTTGGTAACCAAACAGTGGATACGAAAACGCAAAATGTTAAAGCTGATAAGACAGAAAGCATGAATGCAAATATTGCATTTGCACGTGTCCAGACCGTATACATTATGCCTAAGATTGCTTTGATACATATAATGAATTGAAACGATTAAAATGCGAATTTCATTTGAATGCAAATAATCAAAACATATATAGATACCATCATACCTAATCAGATATCTATCTACTTCTCACTTCAATCTGCTTTCGTATTGCCTTGAAATAAAGAATTATAAGAATTATAAGAATGAAATTTAATACGCTCTTTTCTTTCTCTATTATTGATCTTAAATAAAATTCATAACATCTTTTCAAGAAAATTGATCAACTGTACTAAAGGGATGAAGGAAATTATAAGGATGTAAGTAAATAAATGCATGCATGTGAATAAAAGCAAGCAATAATAAATGTAGATATAAATAATTGCAGAAATTTTTTGAAAAATCGTGCTCCTGAACGATAATAATAACAAAGTAATAATTCTTAAACTTTTAATTTTCTTTTTTATACGTAATAATTTCAATGAAACTAAAAACATGTACAACATTTTCAGCATCTTTCTCGCAAAAACCTATCATCATAATTGCCTTACACAGTAAAAATTATAATTTTTCATCCAGTGAAAATCCTGTAGACAAACTACGGATGATGCTGAATTAATATGAGGTTAATTTAGTTGATATATTGTTTGAGAATCTTTTAATTCATCCAAACAATCCAAATGATTCCACCAATTTCGCAAAAAATTCTTTCGAACGAATAAATTAAACCAAGGAGAGAATGAAGCTTCATTATCTGGAATGAAGTACATTGAAAGATTAAGAACAGAAAAAACCATTGTTAACTGTAGTAATTGAAAACAACGGGAAACACCTGCACCGATGCTTCTATCAAATGTACTCTCTTCAATAACGTAACATAAAAGCAAAAAGAATACCGCTCCTGAATTATTATTGTGAAGGTTAAAAAAAAATGTAGACAATATACTTTTCAAGATTTCAGCCAACTCCTCCATTGATGTAACAACAGCTATCGCTTCAACTTCTTCCGGATTTGGTTTAATTTGATTAATATCACAATCACGCAAAACAATAACATAATCAAGCTCATGTTCACCCCAATTATCATCATGCATTGCTTTATACAGGAAACGACCCATGATCTAAATTAAAAACACTCCATCACTACTTTTATAAAATACCAAATAATCCCTTTCTGAAAAATTTTACCTCAAATCTCATTAAATTCAATATAAAGTTACAAAAAAAACTTTATTCAATTACTAACAGAACAACATCAAATTCTTAAAACTCGCTAAAATTTATTGAAAAAGAAGTAATTTCCAAACTTTCACACCTTCATTTGATCAATGTTAGCAGACAGAATGCCTAATTCATGATTTAATTTTCTTCTAGCAGCTCGTCGAATTCCAATATTATTCATGTCAGTGCACATTTCATATTCATTCCATAAAGGATGACTGCAACATGCATTTGTCCATAGCGATGGAAATGTCAGTTTCTGAGCAGCTCGTTTTTGCAGGATCATTTCATTGTTTTCCGTAAACAAAAAAACGCTAAACGCACGATGTAAGGCTACTGAAAAGATGAAATAAAAAACTTGAAAAAAATTTGTATTAATCACAGCTTAAGTAATTTACATTACAAGGATAGTAAGATGACTTGTATTATAATGTGAAGCAAAAGCTCGTCCCTACTAATACTGCAAATAATTTCATTCATTTAGAAAATAATTGAAATACTGAATCTTGAGCAATATCTTACTAATACATTGCAAAAAGAAAATGCCACTTAATTAGTTATGAAAAAAACTTACATGTTTCAGCCGAATGACAGAACCGTTTGGATTCAGAACGCAAAGGATTATCATTCTCATCAACAATGATACATTGCTCATTCAAATAATTATTCTGCACATTTAATATTGCAGACTTGATTAAATTATTCTTCTGCCTGCACAAACATAGCGTCAAATAATGGTAATTAGAAAAATTACCAAAAAGAAAAAAAACAAGTAAATTTATGCAAGATATGTAATTTTTGAAATTCAACATAGTTGAAATTCAAAATTTTTAATGCTATGATTTTTAAACATACTGGAGATGGACATTTTATACAGTCAAGAACCATGTAATGTAAAATTTTATACAGTCAAGAAATATGTAATGTAAAATCTTAAGGCTTTTAAAAAAAAACAAACATTGTACGCTTTTAAAATCGATTGATAGGAAATTTTTAATACTTTGAATGTCAGCTTTCCACTAAAATTAAAAAAAAAAGACCAAATTGTGCATCATAATCTTGAAGCGCAGTTTAAGATTATCGTATTTTCAATTTCATCAAATGGAAATTATCTAAATAATTCCCGTGCGATTCTTTTATTTTGCATGTTACATTGCATGATAAAGATGGAAAGCTATTAGATTAAGATTTGAGAAAAGAAAAACACTTACTTTAACAACTTAGCCAATAATGACATCCTAAACTGTGTCTAAACTCGTTCAAAAAAGAGCAGGATTCTTGAGTAAACAAAAAGAAATATAATTACTCTTCATGATTGTTTTTCAAACTTTCAAACAGGAATAGTGCTATGTAAACAAAGTCTGCAAAAAATACGAATATCAAACCTATTGAGAAATTTTATCTCCCAAAAATATAATCGGTAAATTTTTCTCACAGTTTCCACACAAATATAACACCTTAACCCAAGATAAATAGTTTATTATCGTTAGACGATTTTCGAAAAAAATTGATAAATGAAAACTATCAATGCAATCCTCCTACCATTTATTAAAGAGAAAAAAATTATGCTTCATGAAAATGCAAGCATCAGCTATTACAGACTGTGATTTATAAGTTTGCTCTGATTAAATTATTAACCTAAGAGATGATTGCTGTAAAAGAACGCTGGGAAACCTTAATTAGCCAACATATAAAATATATATTTTCTATGCCACAACTACCAGCAAAATAGAATTTCTTGAAGCCTTTAGGTAAAGTTTATTAACGTAACTTCGAATAAAACAATCATTAAGTGACAAGAAATTAAATTATTGCACTATTATCAGGATATAAGTTGAGGCGGTTTTTCTTTTCGATGCTGCTGCAAACACGCGAGTGAACAAAAATAATTATCACAATATTCAAAATGCTTGGGATCGAGAACTGCACCACACTAAAATAAAGCAGCAAGTAAAAGAAATGTTAATAATGATAACTACAATTATCAATTATTACAAAAGAAGTAAACTAACACTAGCTGTAATAACATGAAACAATGGGAATAACATACTAAATTAGTGAAGTGTATCAATTTTAAACATGAATCAAAAACTCGCTTATTTCAATGCATAAATTTCTAAGACAATTATAATTTCCTGTTTGTAGCTGAATAACTTATTACCAAACAGTAACTGACCTTGAAACAGCGATTACCATCATTTTCAACAACTTGACAACGTTTTTGTAAAGATGCAGCAATCCGGCGTTCTGCAGCAAGGGCTCTTTTTTCTCGATCGGAAAGTGCTAAATATTTTTGACGTTGTTCCTGAAACAAAATTGATAAGATGCTTTGGAGTTCTCGGTACATGGATACTTCATTATTTTCGATGAAAAAAAAAATGCGAAATCATTACTTGTTCCATCTTCTCCTGATAATGAGCAGCTTTTTTAGCTTTATCCCTTTGCTTTTTTTTTTCACGTTGGATTCGTTTCCTCTCTACCTCTTTCGATAGTTGCTCTTCACTCATGACTGCTAGTTCTGGTATTTGGCTAACATTCCAGTTGAATGTGTCGGGATGTTCGGATCGAAATGTGCTAAACGCTTGACGAACTGTTCGATTTTGTGCAACCTAACATGATAAGCTTCGAAATCAAGGATAAATCTTGTTTCCTAGGATATTTTAGCAGATATTTTAATAAAATGCCCCAAATAAATCATAAAGAAATACCTGATAAGGAACTTTTCCTTCGCTGTCTTTCACCGCTGGATCACATCCTAACAATAACAACTCCTGAAAATTATATTGATTGCTCCATAAGAGAAATATGAAAAGAAAATATACAGATCCTTCAGTTACATCAATTACTAGTTTCATTCGTAAAAATTTTTGCTAAAAAACTTAAAAAGCATATAATACGTGAACACGTACTTTCAGAATTTCCACTGTACCTCTTCTCGCCGCGACATGCAGAAAAGTTGAAGACACTGGTGGAAACGTCATTTCTCTGATATATTTCAAGAAATCTTCTTTCTTTTCTTCATTACTTTCCAATAGTTGGCGTAACTTTGAAACCGAATTCAAGCGAATAGAGGCATACAAAGCCTGAGCGTTTGTCTTACTCAAAAGATTCACTGTTGTCTCTTCTTGTTCCGAATTTTCTTTTTCTTCCTGAAATACAAATGACAAGAAAACTTTGTCAATAATTTCATCATTTAATCTGACGTTGATTTCAGCATTACACTATTCAAAAATTGAAAGGCAATCCAATAAAAAATAAAGTTTTGTAAAAGCGATAGCAGTATGAGCAATTCTCCGTCAATGGCTGAATCTTTTGATCTTGTCAGAATCCTCATCGAATTTTGAAAAGTTCTCCTGTAGAATATATCACTCCCACTTTTAGGAAATTAACTCTAGATTGCTACAAATAAAAAGTGAAATGGAATTAAAATTTTACGTTTGATATAATCCTCATTACTTCAGGTTGCCGGTGTTTCATTTCATCAATGACATTGTTATCATTATCTGATTCCAGAGAAGATTCACTGGACATATATTTTGCACTTGATATCTTGCGCCGAAACAATCGCCTCTGATTCTTCCGCAACTTTTTAAGCCTTTCTTGCTCTTTATTAAAATCAATCGCTGACCCATGTGAACGAACGAGCTCTACAAATGTAGTTTAATTGTTATAAGAAAATTTCGAAGATTTCAATTAATTCACATTATCAATATCAACAGAAATTTATAGTGATGTACATCATGATATCACAAATTCAGTTTTGATCTAACATAGAACAACAAATATATTTCAAATAAGCAATGGTCATAAAAAATCTAATATTAGATTAGACTTCGCAAATCAAAATGGTGCTCACAATTTATGCCATGAAATTTGGAAGCTAAAAAAAGATAGCAGGGAAGAAAAGAAAAACAAAAAACAAAAACATACTCAATCTTGACCATGTTCGCTGAAGCTCGTCTACCGTTGGTCGACGTGTTTCAAATGGTATTGTCCTCAAACGTTCATCGCACTTTTCTAATTTAAATTTTTTTGTTTGCTCAAAAAAGATATACCTGTAATATAAAGAAAGCATTGCATTGCATAAATTTTCGAAAAATTACATGCTACCCAAGTATCAATAATAAAAAAAAAAAAAAAACCCCTTGCATGCATCAAACACGTTTTCGCATTATTAACGTTTTGATTCCAGTTTAAGCCATTTTTTTTAGTGTGGCTACTAATTGACGGTTCGGCCGTCCAGCAGTAAGTCGATTAGACAGCTTATGTGCAACCGTACCAGATAAGTTAAGTTGGGTATTATGAGCTTGACTATAGGTGTTGGTATAAATATAGTACTCTATATATTTAATTATTACTTTTGAAGTCAGCACATTAAATGTTACTCGTATATCGTTGATAAGAAAATGGTAGCTACACTGAGTAAGTGTTATTGTATGCATCAAACATACTCAATTACACAATAATCATTGTCATTTCTGTTCTATGATCAACCAGATTGGTCATATAGCAAAAAACAAAAACGATAAACAACATTACACATCATACATGTGATCTATATAGGCCTAATTATATTTTTTTTAAAAATAATTTTAAGAAAAAGAAATGTGTTGCCTTAGCGACATTGGACAACGCACAAATATTAATGGACTTTCTTCTAATAAGCTCGACCAACTTGCCAACAAACACTGGATTTCGTCTTTTAAAGCTTTTTCGTTATATCTAAAAAAGAGTGTACCTAAATATGTGAAATCAGAACTTTAAAAAAAATTTAAAAAAACTGAAACTTCCAAAGCTTATATGACGTCATGCCTTTTTAATATTTCGATTATCAAATAGATTAAATTAAATAACTGAATGCTGGTACTATATTATGACTTTTGTAGAAGTGGGAGAATTAATATATTACTTCTATAAAGGAATACTTTGTTATGTATTCGAATGAATTTGCTTTTACAGTGCTGTAAGATAGTTTAATATGCAATGTATGGGTTAATAATATGGTTTAAATTCAAATGCTTTGTTATAACTGAAAACTTTACTAAGCAAGCTTTCAGTCATAATAAAACATTTCGCTTCCAAAATAAAAGCGAAATTTTTGAAACCTGGTTTACACAGCTTCATGATACACTCTTCCTGAAGCAAAATCCTGATGATACTACTAAAGAGAACATTACTGTCCGTAGTAATATATTAATTGCTACATCAAACAACGTATTTAACAATCGATTATGATCAATTAATACACTGCAGATCCACTGGAATTATATTTTGACGATTAAAAAATATTTTCATTGATTTATTTTACACCCATTCTTATTGATCATTAACTAGGGATAATATGCTGACCAATTTTTTAAAAGGTGAAAAATTTTCAACCTTCTCACAGAGGCACCAGCACTTTTCGCCGTAGATCCCCGCGCATCCGATACTGATTGCGCTGTTCCCTGTTTTGCTCGAACAACATATCGATGGAAACTTTTATGTACAACCAATTCATGACTAAAGTAAAGCAACGGATGAATTCAAACAAATATTTTTGTAAATCTCACACACTTACAGATTATTCAAATCAAAAACTATGCTTCTGTATCAGAAACTAATTTTACTGTATTTGTACAGAAATAGATTCTTTTACAATGCAGAAACAGATTCTTTTACTGCTCGCAATTTGTGATTTAAAATGTCTGAATAACGTTTTATCTTTTTATACACATATGTTCATAATTTTCCTAGTTTTCTACACATAATTTAGCGTTAATAAAGTCCCTTTCAATTTGGAGGTGCTATATGATGTGTAGGCGTGGGTCAAATCATTTCTTATGGTTGGTTAATGAGCAAAAGCACAAGACTGTGATAGATAAAATATAAATCTTGTCAGAGTGGTACAATTAAATTATAACTTTTTCTTCCTCAACTAGAATTTTTCAGAACCTTAGATCTTTTTGGTTATTAATTCTCATGGAGCAGAATCTCAAGTTTAAACACTGGATAATATTTTCCCATTGACGACAAATAAATGATATAAATTATTTTTACTGTTTAAATTAACACTTACTTTTTGAAAATTCCGCCACAGAAATGGCCAGCAGAAAGCAATAAAATAGTACAGTCTAATGGACGTTGGAACAAATTTTGAGATATGACCTCGTTTTTCAGTAAAATACATCGATATATGGAATATACTGTTCCATCGCTTATGAAATAAGCATGAGCTCCGCCAGTGAATGGCATTATCTCATCATCGCTTTCTGTATCTAACGAGCTAAGTTCACCTGCAATAAAAATTCCACTAATTCTTTTTTTTCTATTCATATGAGAAAAAGAAATTTTTAAAAATTACTTAATAAGAAATTTTCACTCAATATGAAGTTGCGCAATAAATCCCGACATAGTTCACAACATATATGGAGTATATTGTTCTATAGCTTATGAAATAAGTTACAACTGCTTAGGCCTGAATCAATTTCTTTCAATTAAAGCAATAAAATTATTGAATTGCACCTATTCTGAATTATGCTTTTTTTGGTTATGGTTTATTGTTTTTTACTCGGTTTTTGATTAATTTTTTTTCGATAACCAACTATTCTCGGATATCGCTTGCTCAAATTCATCTTCGGTAAGCAGTGGTCGTCCCTGCAAGATTCGACGAAGGTTATGTCGATGCCACTCAGATTTGTAATGTGCTATTAAGTCAGCACGATCTTCTTCAATTGATGTTTTACAAACTGCACATGTTACATCTGCAACATTGTTATTTATAAACCGTTGTTCATACTTCAAAAAAAGAAGAAGCGTAAAGCAAATGTGAAAATGGCGAATACAACTGCATAAAACGCTATTAGCTAAAAGATCAATGAAATAAAATTGACAATTTTCGACGTAATTTACAACATTTTTACGTAAGTTTATATAAAAACGCTGTAACTGGAATAAGTAAAAGTGAATAGTTGAGATGACTATTTAATTGATAGAAGCAATTTATGTGATATTTAAGAATCAAATCACCTTTTAATTTCAATTTCATAGTACCACTTCCCAACGAACAAATTGGTTTAAAAATCAAAAATCTTGCCGTAATTCTAACATCTTTCAAGAAATTATGATAATGCATAAATATTTAAAATGACCTACCAAATTCCTGTCTCTCAAAGAATGATTCCACTGGTTGGACTGCTTCCATAACATTGTTAAAATTATACGATTCCACCACAGCCTCGGACCAACGTGAATCATTGATCGAATAAGAGATTTTAGATGTTGTACACTTCATTACTACATAGTATTACAAAATCAGAAATCTCTCTGTAATTTTAGCATCTTTCAAAAAATTATGATCATGCATAAATATTTAAAGTGATTAAAAAAAGACAAATTGTATACCATCAGAATGACTTATTAAACTTTTTACATTCCTCTTTTTCATTTTTAACCCTTTATGAGAAAGATAATTTCCTAATTTAAATATGACAAACAGATATGGTACCGACAAAGCATAACCTCCAGCAATTAAAAGAAAAAAAAAATTATCCATGAACTAGAAAAGCATCATGCATAATTAAGGAAAACTACTACCGGACGATCTTTTAAAATATAGAATCCGTACCTTCCACCTGTAGAAATACAGTAAACAATAAAAACATTTGCCAATATATATATATATATATATATATGATTGTTGGTAGATTAAAACAATTACAAGGTAATTAACGACATTCGATAGGTTCTCTGTCTACATAATTTCTACATAAGCCAGATATTATTTTAATTATTATTATTATTGAGTTTAATCCATCTCAAATCTTTACATGGGTAATTAAATTTCCGTAATCGAAAATAAGATGAAAAATAAGATCATTTTAAAAACAGAGAAATTACATGAAAGGTAAAAGTTGGAATGAAAGTTACATAAACGATTTCAAATGTCATTTCAAATGCTTTAAAAATCTCCATACATATTAACTTTGTTACATCCGAATCTCAAACATTATACGTTCTCAATGAATAATGCATATTTAAAAATGCGGTACAATTTTAGAAAGAATACTATCTCAGTTCAAATTTAAACTTGCTTATGAAGACTCATTTATTCGACTGAATCTTACGAAATTTCCATTCCTTTGAATTAAATCAAGAAGATAAATGAAAAACTAAATTTTTTTTTTTGCAACAGACAATGGTGACACGGTAAAATTTCCAAAACATATTTGTGAACGACGTATAATGTACACGTAAATTAAAAAAATCAATGGAAATTATATAAAATTATGCATCATTAAATAAGGAAATGAGTATTAGGATTACTGATGGAGATCGGTCTAAAAGAAGGCATCGCATACGAAACAATCAAAAACATAACCAAACTCTTCAAAAATGATTGTCTTCATAAATATGGTAAAGTCTTCACTTACCATATTTTCTATATATAATGTTTGGTTTTTAAATTCTTTTTTAATAAAAAGTTTATTTAAAGTTCATTTAAACTTTCACGCTTCACAGATGAGGAATTGATAATTTCAAAAATTAGTTCACTTATACTAGAAATAGTAAATTCCGAATTAATGGCAAGTAATAGCAGAATTATAAGTCCACTAATAACATTAAAAGTTCTAACAGAAAATATGCATCCAAGGAGGAACAAAAATAGGCAGGCGATGAAAGAAACAATGAAAGCGATGAGAATTCTTGCCTAATTACGTACTAAGAAAAAGAACGACAAAAAAGGCACACAAACGACATATTTAGATCAAAAATTGGCTGAGATCACACGTCAATGGTCACTTATAACAGGATTCTTAATATCCAACAACTTGACTACTTCTTGCCAATCATTATAGCTAAAGCTTATAACACCACGATTGTCCTGATCAACACTGTTTTCAAGGGCTTTTCGTTCAATATTACCAATTAAACCTAAAAAATTCCAATTTTTAAACTAAGAGGTATCAAAAAAGAAAGCCATAGAATGTTCTATGCATGATTTTTGTATTAAAAAACTTACTTAAACATGGCATATTATCATCGTCAATATCCAATCCAACTTTATTTTCCTTTAACAAAAATGATGTATAAAAGACATTGGCCACAGTACGTGAGAAATCTGTCGGATGAAAGCAAAATTCGAAATAGTTAATTGATTTCGTATTATGTTGCTTCAAATAACTTTTCAAACAATGCATGACATTATCGAGCTGCTCAGCGAGCGGATCCGTTCGTCGTTGCAATTCTTCCTCCTTCAAAAGTCGTTTCACATTTTTCCTATCACAAAATTTTTTCTTGTCCCTTTTCATGGCTTTCAAAATCATACTTTTTTAAAATTAAATATAATTATTCGTCATCAGAACTTCTTGCAGACATTTAATGTCAGCGTGTTTTGGGATATACAAAATGAAAAAAGTAATAAATACAATTTCAACTGCCCTTTAACATTGACCATTTTGACAAAACTTGAACACAGTCGACCCGTTATCCATCATTCATTCTAATAATTAAAACAAATACTTCTCTCTGCCAATTACTTACTTCGACTTCTTGTAACTGCAAAATTTCTTCATTCCCTTTTAATTTTGTCCTTTCTGTTCTTTTTTTTGCATTATTTTCCAATTTCTTAAGTTTGTCGTTCATCTCACTCGGAATTTCCTCCAACAATAATGGCCTCCTAAATGATAAAAAAACATTTTGTTTAGTAACAGAAAAAACTGATGGCTAATGTAACAAGTCCTTGAGAGAAATACCATAACTGACTAGCCAATCATTGCATTAGGTTTTCTAATAAAATATTCAAAACCCTTCCTAATTTTATGGAATAGCTGAATCAAGATATTACTGCCGACAAACGTTTCAGTCAAATTTTACCAAACGTGTGCTTTAGATCCAGTTGAATTAATCAGTCAACAAATCAGTAAATTTTTCGGTTACTAAAATGCATAATGAATGAATTATCTAAACTTGTTAGTTAACCCTTTCAATTAAAGTTTCTGAAAGTTGAACCACCGAAAAAAAAACAATTACAGGCATGATAAAGTAGGTGGAAGATTGAGAACATTCATAAAATGATTGCCGAATGCCATCCAACTTGATTGCTGATTTTCGAGGGTTATTTTTCCATTTTCTTCGATCAAACCACATTCATTTTTGAAAAAAGTTATCTGGAAACAATAAACTTTTACGAAATATTATTGTTTGCCCTCAAAAAGTGGTGCATTAATATTTTGAAAAAAGTCGGTATGACTTGAAAAGTTTCGATCCTAAGTTTTAAAACCGAAGCATCGAATCATGCTCAGAAAATGATGACTGAAAATGCTTTTCAAATAAACAAAGAGAAAAAGAATCCATGATAGTACTTATGCCGGTCCGACTCAATTTTCAAGATTTAATTACCTAAATTTGAAACTCGCTGTTTTAAAATGCAGTTTCATAGCAACTTAAACTGAGATCCAGACCGTAAGAATTCACGACTCACGCTGTAAACAGTAAAAATTGTTTCTCTAACCTATTTCTCTAAACGTACATTCTTCCCACTAGCATTACTGTTTCTATATACTCATTCTTGTTCATTATTATGTTTATTTTGACTATTAATAATTCAAGCACTAGCATCGCAGCCAGTACTGAAAGTAAACAGGAAAGAAACAAAAATAAAAATAAAAAGCTCATAATCATGTATGTTGGATTTGCTCTCATTGGACTGTTTCATTTTCTTTGTTCGGAGGTGATGAAAATCCATCTCTCCATAAAAAATTTTAAAATTACTGTATGAACAATTCCATAGAATTATTCAGAGGTAGCAAAATTAATGGAGAATTGCAATCAACAAAGAGTTTAATTGAGAGAAAACATCCCGCCACAAGAGTGTTCAATAGCGCGAATGATTAAAAAATTACACAACAAAAATTAATAAGAAAAGTCAACTACTGAATAACCAGATAACTGTGGCAAACCCCAAACTGTTGTCAGTCAGTAACCGAAATAAACAAATAAAACATATCTATAGTCTAATAATAAACACATGAAGAATTCATGAAGCATTGTTTTTGTAATATAACATCAATTTAATAAAAGCAGCCTTAAATGTTAAACGATACGATCAAAAAAAAAAAAGTATTCGAAAGGTATCATGGAAATTATTCTATCATATTATGAAAAATTTTCAAGCATACCAATGTCTGGACAAAAGAATGCAAAGTAATCGTTTTCTTGGCTGAATTGTTATGAAAACTTTGAACTTCCGCGACAATAAGTTTCGACAAAGATTTCGTTAATTTTGCGTCTGTCATCATATAACGACAAGACTGAGTCTGAAAGATATTTTCCTTTTTTTAATTCAACCAGCAATCATTTATAGATATCTGACAGACTACTATGACACAGCCATATAACGGACAGCTTGCATAGTGATGTTATAGATACTGATTCTTTTTTTGACATTTTTGACAAAAAAAAAAGAAAATTTAACCTTGGCAAAATTTTCTTCGAAGTCGTCGGTTTGTTGTAAATATCTTTGAGAACAAAAATCATCACCACTTTCACCACCTTCAAAGACTGCCGTTGTCAATTCTGAAATTGAACATTAAACAATCCTAGAATGATATTAATTGCGACTTTATGCAACTATAAAATTCATCTTCAAAGTACATGAAAATTTTAACTTCAGCAAAATAATTACTCAAATAGCAATCATAACTAGATTTCGTAAATCTTATTCGCATAACTTTTATGGGATAATAAAACACTAAAAAATTAAACACGGGATTATAGAATGAACAACAAGAATTCTGTGCTTTATTTGAAATGCTAAAGAAAGCAACTTAAAAATTGCAAAAAGTTATGAAAAAAAAGAACAAGCTAAAACTGACTATCAATTTTTTCGCATAAATGTTGCGCTGCTTCATGGTAGTGTAGTACGCTGTCTTCACCATTACTGGTACCACACTGGTCAATATCTTCCGACATTTCCACATCTTCATTCATTGATTCCAAAAACTGACTGAAAAATCTTTTTGGCATGTGCTACTCTCCAGACATTTCCCTTATTTATCTGTTTGCATATCGGTTGCAAAATCATCCAATGTCTTATAGAGAAAAAATGCGACCAAAAGAGCTAACGAACAAAAGAGAACAGAAAATCTTACATAAACACTAATAAAAATATAACACTAATTACAGTAATTATAAATCGATAAAAATTATTCGTCTTCACTAGTTACTTCTAAATTTCCGTACGAATAAATTCGTTATGGTAGTCTAAAACAATAATTACATCTTGGAACTAAAAATATCGTTAACATCAAAATTATCATAATGACTTTTTGTTCCCGTAAAAATTTCAAGAATAAATGTCTATGTGCTGTAAGGAAGTAACAAGAATTCCATGGATTAATTAACCATAATTTTTTCCATTGTTCGATTTCCAATATTTCAATTCTATATAGATAACAACTTTTATTAATGAATAGAAAAGAAATAACAATGTATCAACCTTTCACATGAATAATAAATTATTAGAGCATGACAATAAAAAAAGAATATTAGTCAAATAAACAAGATATTTTCGAAAAAAACAATAAGTGTTAGCATAAAAAGGAATCTTTAAGAAAATTTACAAAATTAAGAGAAAAAAAAGAGTGATAGTATTTTCCCTTAATTTTCATTCAGTGATGAATATTTTCTTTTAAATTTTCTCTTATAAACGTAAACATAAATTTTTATGCAGACTTTTGCAATTAATTAAAATTGATTATATTTAAACATCTAATTCATATATATTTTACTTCTTGCACTATAAATGTTATCAGTTAACTCGCTGCACAACACGCCAAGAAGAGATAGAAATCTGAATAATAATGCATTTAATCTTGACGACCAATTAACTTTTAAAGCATAAAAATTAACTGGTCATTAGTCATCCTCATTAGAATAAAAAATAAGACATGGTGATAATTACTACTTACTTAAAGCAACAGTAATGAATGAATGCCGACTGTGGAAATGGAAAAGAGTCAGGAGAAGAGTGGAATTCGAATTACTCTACAATATAGTGCCATTTATCCAGTTTTTTCTTCGGAACATCTTTCTTAGCATCGGCTAACGGTTGTTGAGCAATAATTTTTTTCCAATTATCATTGTCTGCTTGATGTGCTGCTCCATCCATACCACATGTCATTTCGGTGTTCAGCTTAGGTGATGATTCTTTGATAAGCTGTTTCCAGAATTCATGCGTTTCAGAAATAATGCCTAAAAGACTATTACTATCAAAAAGTTCACACGTAATACTAAATCCTAAGTAATAATATACAGTAGACTATTTTTGTACTACGCTTTAAAATCAGTCAATAAAATGGTCGATTCAATTGATCTGAATTAACTTATATTAAAATTAACTTAAATTTACCAAAACAGATCAACTAGCATCAAATATCTTGATGAAATTAATTCGAATCTGTGAGCTTAATTAAAATTTCGACCTGATTCAAATTGAAAACAATAGAGTGATAAAAAATTGTAACAATTTCACTTGATTCAAGCTAGCAATCAACCTTTCATTGCTGTTATTACTGATAATGCAACTCACATTTCTAACGCATATCATCTAATTCTAAAGATCAATTTATCGAATTACAAAAAGCAGACCGGCATTTAACAAATGCTATCACTTAATTAATACACTGTGCAAAGACACATACCATGTGCAAAGTTAGCATCCTTGAATAATCCATTAAATGCAAACTGATTAGCTGGTTTACCAGCAGGAATTTTGTAATTTCGGAACCACTCACGTGTTGCTTTCAGAAGACCCGGAAAATGCTTTTCCACATCCTTAATTTCATTAATTTGATCTGCTTTTTCATCTGTTACATCGATAGCAACTAATTTCCAATCTGTTTCACCCTCATCAATCAATGCAATAACACCAACAACTTTTACTGATATCACATCACCACGACGATGAATTTTGGAACCAATTTCGATTACATCAATTGGATCATTATCACCACGAGCTCCTGTAGCTGGATCAAGATGTTTAGGATCTTCCCATGTTTGTGGAAGAGCACCATAGTTCCAGATATAGCCTTTAAATGGGAAAAAATTATCCACAAACCGTGGTTCACCATTTTTCACATCTTGTTTGATTGGTGTCATCGATTCCTTTGTTGAAATTTCCATTTTAGCATTTGTCCATCGAGGAATTTCAACTACCATATTGTAAATTTTCTTCGATTCATCCACAAATAAAGGTATATCATGCCATGGTGAAATATGACAACCATTTTGATCTTTGAAATATATTCGATAATCCAAACCATATAATGAACCAAATTCTTCGATTGTATATTTTGTAGATGGCATTGTTGATTGTTGTGCAACTTTCAAAAAAAAAGGAATAAATACTGGTACTCGTGGAAATATTCTCTTTGTCAGAAAAAATAATATACTTTTGCACACTAATTGCATAGAATATCGAATATGCAATCAATAGTATATTGAATTTTTCAATCCAAATAAAAAGAACTGAAAGTAAAAAAAAAGGGAATAATTAAGCTAATTAATCGTCGCATCAGTTTTTTCGTTAGCTTTAGATAATAATCCGTATGATAAGTAGCAATCAGCTTGTAGTCATGACAGCAAAAAATCAATCAAAAATGCATATCTACGCTGCTATAGCTACTGTAATTTCTATTTCCAATTTTCTTTTATATTTAAATTTTCTTTATCAGTTAGGAAACTATTCTGAATTTATCACCAAAATTTCAACTAACCGAAGCAAGTCGCTAAATATAATTTAGAAATTAAGAACTAAAAAAGGATGACAGCTCATTTGAATGCTCTTAAATCAATCAAATAATATACTATATATAATACTTTATCGAATACTATGAATATTAACTTCGCAAAAGAAAAAAAAAAACTGATAATCGGACAAATTTAATATTAAATTTTGGGAAATGAAATGTGAGGTACGAAAAGAATTTCATAAAATGAACAGCTCAAATGTAACAGAGAGTGAGAAATTGACCAACAAGCAAGTCATTTATTTTTTAGGATGACTGTAAAACCACAACAACAATCACTTCACCTTGTGCTGTCTTTTTTTTCGGGTATTGCTACAATGTAAAATTTGCAAAATCCGATTAGCCTGCGATGATGCTTAATATCTTTCGAACATTTGTTACGCTTAAAAACATGTATAATATTAAATTAGCATTGGAGAGAAAATATCGTAATCGATTTCATTCTAGAATATATCGATTTTTGCTCCACTGAATCATTTGAAATTAGATGCTTTGAAATTTTCTAAAGAGAAAACTTTCAAAGAACTTTTAAAAAGAAAAAAAAATTTTCGAAGAAAAAAAAAAGACATAACTTCGGCATTTCAGAACATATTAGATCGACGAATTTAAAAAATATGATTTGAGAATAAACTTTAAATGCAATGACTCTTTCTGTCAGTAATAAATGATGCGTAATGTATTTCTTTAGAATTCAAAAATAATACTTTCATCAGCAATCAAAATGAAACAAATAGTCATGAAGACGAGTTTTTATAACTCTTTATGCAAAATTCGCATAAATCTTTTAATCTTTTCACTTTTTAGCAAGGTCATATATGTCAAAACACAATACAATAATGCCACTAGCTATGAATATGATTTGCACATATTATTGAGCAGGTACATCTTTTACAACCTTGTATAGTCCATTTACACACGACAGTAAATTCATTTTCACTTTCCGCTGCAAAAATGCAACAACATCCTCCAACGTGGGTCCGTGCTGTCCTGGACTTGCAAACATTCTAAAAAAGTGCAATTCCATTAGAAACTTAAAACAGGAGAAAAAGAAGATAAATTATTCCAAAATGGTCGAATCATTAGTAGATTGCGGAGAAATTAAAAAAAAAGATCGACTGCAAGCGATGCTAATTTTCATTAAAAAACATATGCAGTGATAACTGTGCAGTTATCAGCTTATGTAATAAATACTCAATATAACACCAGAAATAATAAATCGAACAGAAAATTTGATCACCTGAATATGGTATGTAATCGTTCGGCTTTGACAGGCTCTTGATTAGCGATGAAACTTTTCGTATAGATCCAGTACTGTTCCAGTGCATCAACTGCTTCCATATCTTCATTCTTATCATCATCTGACACATCTTCCTCCATATCGTGTTCAACTTGTAAACGTTCCATTTTTGATGTCCCACTTGCGAGGTGCCATGTTTTTGCTTCAATTTCGCCCTGTAAATTTTATGAATTAAAAAATTTTTATATCCCCTTGATTTTTAAACAGAAAGGAATTGCAGTCTTTAATAAATAAATTCATTATTGAGCAAACCATAGAGGGTTCATCTAGTAAATCCACGTAACATAACTGCTGATGACATCATTAAATCTGGAATGTCACGGATGGTCATATTCGAAATACAATTATGCCATGAATAGAAGATATATTCCGATGAATGATTGAATAGTCTTCATAGGTGTTTGATATCTCATGACTTTTTCGACTACATAACATCATTTATGGCACAGAAATCTTAAATGATGTTCTTCATAATTCTTAAGCTTTACTTACTGTAGAAGCATAAACAACACCACTATTTTGCCACCATTCTAATCTCTTTTTAACATTTCGCTTGTCCATTTTTAGTTCAGCTGCCACTTCATCAACTGTCCAGATTTCTGCAAACATTTTGGTCTTTTTGTGATATTTAAAAGATCTTTGTTTCTAAAAAAAGAAACAGAAATTCACCCACATATTTGATAAGATTTATGTTGAAATCAAAAAAGAAAAGTAACAAAGAACCTTTCTTAGTAAACAATGATAAAACAGCGGCATGAGCCGGTGATACAGCAACTACAGCCTTCACACCATCCAATTCTACTTCCAATTCAATGGAGCCAACAGCACTCATCCATTCTAATTTTCGAGATCCCTTATGTGTTTCAAATCCACGAGCATATTCATCTAACCCATTCATCAGTGCTTGCGGCATCTATAAAACAATTAAAAGAATTCAAGTTGGGGAAAATTGAAGTTAGAAGAAAAAATCATTAAAACCCTTAGAAAATAAGAAATAAAATACATACCATAAATTCTTCATTTTCAATTTTCGGCCAAAAAAATGATGATATGATTCGTGCATTGATGGGAAACGGCTAAAATTCAACGCTTACATTTTTAGTCATATTTTGTTATAACAAGCACATAAATTAGCCCGCCATTTGCAGCCTAGTCGGGTGTTGAATATTTGATGTCTGGAACTATCATTCTCTTTCAAACGTTTTTTTGGTTATGTAGCATGAAACACATGATGCAGCAAGCTCATCTTAAAATAAAATGAACTTGAGTTTATTTGATCACATTCGTTAAATCATTTGGTACCTAAAGTCTGAGATGTTTGCAATTAGCAATAAATGTTTGAAGCTATTAAAAAAAATTTAGATTTAAAATTTATTAGCACACCAGCAAATTTTCCACTAAGCGATCGATATGTTCCGAATCACGCATATCCTTCAACATCACTTCGCATTGTTGCAATTCTCCTTCACTGAATCGCAGCTTAAGTAATTCCAAATAACGCTGCTCAAACTGTGGCTGAAAATAAAAGTTGGATTTTTTTTCGCAAAAAATCAATCATTTAATAGTGAGACTTTTATACTCTTATCAGCATCAACATATTCTACTTCCTTCTTTTAACTTTATCTTTTGATCTGATAACTGCAGGACTAACTCACTGAAAAAATATTATATTGAAATACGATCCAAATACTTAAAGATATTGCTTATAATCCTTAATTTCAATCTTTGTTGAAATTCGCAAAGTTATTCGAGCATACTCACATCCCGATTCCAAGATTTCGTCAATCGTTCAGCAAGCAGTTCACGATACTCTTTGACAAATATTTCTTTACTTCCATAGACGGATACTAGCATATTAAATACATCAGCGTTCTGCCGATATCGTCGGCTTTGACAAGGATTCGCATCTGGTGGATCTGGCAGCCAGTCCATCCAACTACACTCTGCAGATTTGAAAACTAGGCTAAAATGTAGAACATTTTTGATTAAAATCGAGCTCATACATCCCACAATCCACTATAGTCATTTTAATTTCAATATAAGTTCCGTTTCTTCTGTTTGCTCTTTCCAAATCTCTCTTCCACTGATATTTTTGTCCCCATGTTTTACCATTCTTGCTCTTTATTTTTAGAGAAATTGAGCTTTGTACGGTAAAAATTAAATCAATGGTTGTACCTGACTAATGAAAGAACCCTTAGAGGCTGCCTTCTGTATTTGAGAGGAAAAAAATAAACTTGCCAGCGGTATCATCTGAACCCGGAATAAGCTCATCATTCACTCCCACTAGCTCTTCTTCATCCAAAAAGGCCGTTCTTCGCATTGCCAATTGCTCACTAAGTTCCTCCCGTTTCTCACCAGTAATATAAGTTATTATACATCGAACAGTATCAGGTCGTTGTCTGAAATGGGTCAAATTTGTTCACTCACTGTTAAAATAGATTAATTGCCAACCAATAAGCTAAATCCGTTTTCGATATATTATCAGTTTCAAATTAGAGAAATTATATCAATGATTCCTGTTTCCGCAATTTCTAGGCGAGTTAAATAGTATTCAAGAATAAACATTACATGTATTGTAAAACATGAATAAAGTTCGAAATAAATAAAAACTTTAAACATTTCTCAAATCATTACTTGATATATTGTCTTATTATAGAGCATATCTGTTGCATAATTACACATGTTGGATCTAAACGTCGTAAGCACTCTACTGCACTCGCATATCCCTCTAAAATTTCCGTTGTTCCAACGCCTAAAAAGCAATTCTCTTTATTTCAAAACTGATACCTTACACCACTTAAGGATCAAAAATATGTTACATAACTAAATTTCTTTTCGTAATATGTTCAACATACGATACCATTATTGGAAAAAAAAACTTATGCTAACCAACTTGCAGCAACCTCTGTTCGACATCTTTTGTTAATACATCCATTAGTAGCATTCGTCCAAAACCACCGTTATTTTGCATGCAGCAACGTAAATCATCAATCACTCCACTTGACTGCGGATATTCAACTATTACAAGATCATAGATCTAAAGATACAGCATATTTCAGTCTTTCCTATGTTAAAAAGTAAGTTATTGTGCAAGGTTTGTTGCCTAAATAATCTTTATCAGTTATGTTCCACGGATTCAACAAAAATTATGCTTTCTGTAAATTACAGCAATCATTTTTCATTCGAGGATTGATACTTTTAGATTAAAGTACACCTTTTCAGCAAGTGTCGTAATGAAACATTTTTCCATCGCTTGTTGAAGAGTTTTTTTTGTTGGCTTTAACCGTGACAAGCCTATCATCACTGTCCAATCCGTAATATGTCGACATCGCTGTAAATTTATGCTTTCAATTTCTTGCTTTGCAATTCCTGCCACATCAGTTTTTCACATCTTAGTTTAGTTTCTTTATCTCATTCATGATATTCACTATTATTTGCAGTTATGGAATCTCATCCCATTTCCCATTTTGCTTCAAAAATATCTGTCATGATGTACATTTTAAACATTAAGACAATTACATTTTTCTCTGTAACTACAACAGTAGTAAACAAGATGATGTACCTAAAATATGGCTATACTATATGAACCTCACCACAAAAATATGAATAACGTGACTATTTTGGTTAGACTTATCTTAATTTTACAATGTTACTTTACCATCGCAATTGCATCAGTGAGTTAAATTGAATCTCAATTCTCTGTGCATGTCTTCTTTAAAAAATCAAAAGCATCTTTACCCCTGTGTTATCAGCAAGTGATATCATTTCTGTCTGCATTACACATTTACGCTTCGCTATATTAGCAATGATATGCCAGACTGCTTGATTATGAGCTTGGGATACAACTGACATAACGTCGAAACCATCCGGGTTTATTCTGAAAATATAACGATCAATTATTTTGATTTTCAAGGAAAGTTGTAATATTGATCAAAAACCTTACTGATATGTATAATTTTAAAAGCTTTTATGATTTCATTTCTTATTTGCTGAACAAATTATAATAAGCAATTTTAAACAAAGTGATATCACGAAATAGAAATATATGTGAAAAGTTCCAGAGCATATCATATTTGCGATAAAATGCGCAACGTGTAACACGTACACAAAAGTACAAATAAATGACAGTTAATAACTAACAAATGCATCACTGTTTCTCGAAGCATGGCCAACACAGTTTCACAACAAGTAAATGCTTCGCTATCCTTTGCTTTCAACATTTCATATAAAATAAAGCTTACTTTAAATGCATTGCTCATTAATATTTTCATTTTTTTCTCTATCTGAAAAGAATACACCAATAGGCAAAATATAAAGTGAGCATTCGTACTTGCAGAATTCTCTCTCTCTTTCACTGCTATCACCATTAATAAATCACTCAAAGTTTCATTCTTTAGAAGTCCTTCTATTCCATCTTACGTCATTATACACAGAAAACTGTAAATAACTGAAGGAAAATCAATGTCGAACTGTACTGTAAGAAGCATGATGAACTGATATATGACACTCATGTATCTATCTTTATCACCAAACTAACGGAGATACAAGATCGTATGTATGTAACCTGTATCCCCACAACTAACATGAATCAACAGGATTCAAAAATAATTACATCAATTGCGGATTAAAATTTATAAATATCCTTTCGTCACCGTTGCATTTGTTAATTTCAACGTAAAATTTATCAGAAATAAGCAAAATATCTCCCTAATCCAAATATGCGCTTTAAATGCAAAAATAAAAACTAACATCAGACTTAAACATTATATTTCCCGCAAAATGTAAAATTCTCGTCTTAAGATATTCGGCACTATGTTTATTTCCATTCATAATTTTTCGAACTTTCTGAAAAATCCTTGAAATAAATTGGCAAATAATAAAACTAGATAATCTAACTTCGGAAATCTTCGAAAATTCAAATTTACCTTATCAATAGTGCTTTCAATAGATAACACTGTTTCATGTAATGCGCTTATTATATAATGATTTGGAAGTGATAACATCTGGTCAACAGCTCGACGGAAGCGTGAAAGAATATTTATTGTTACAAATTTTCTGAAAATGAAATCATGTTGCTTTACTGATTAAAATTCGTGATATATGGATAATCTACCGAAAAGAAAAAAATGTTTTCAATAAAGTTAGGCAATCATTTAAGGATGAAGAAATTAGGGAATAACGTGAAAGCTATTAAAGATATGATATGGGATGTTTGCAGAGCATCAGAACTTAGGATTTCATAAGAATAATTTGGATTACGCCGAAATTGTACACCTTCTCTCAACCCTCAGAATTACAGCGCTTCATTTGCTTATTTATTTGTAATAAGCAAACGACACGGCTAAACTCTCTTCTTCCTCGTCCATAATTTTAAAGCAGTTACCGAATCCAACTTTTTAATTGGAAAACTTATGAAACTGTTCAATTACACAGAGCTAGACCTGTTTCTGTATTTGTTAGAGGAAAAAAAAAACTATTACCTGCAAATTGCATATCCCATTTCTGGATCCATCATGGTTACATCTTCATTGGTGGATGAATTCATCTCAGAATTGCTGCAAGCAGCAAGCAGTGAAAAATAATATGTCATGCTTTACGGTGTCAAATGACCAACCAAGGTAAGTGGTAAAAAACTTTGCAAATTTGATATTGCGATAACAAATTCGATCGATATTACAATACATAAAATTTTTCCCTAATTAACATTCAATTATTGGAAATGCTACCACTTGTCTGGTTCGATTTGTAATAGATCAAGAATTTTGTTTCATCACAGCTTTAGAAGAATCAAAATTCTTGGTAAGGGAAGATTTAAAAAGGGAGAGTTTTAGGGTGAACGCTAACATCGAGGAAAACAGCTTGCATTTGTCAATTTAAAAATTGTCAAAAAAGCAAAAATTTAAAACGCTTTTTATATCTCACTGATTCAGCTTGGATGATATTGGTCAACCATAAAGTGATGAAAATCTTAACTGATTTTGAATAAGCATAAGATCAGTGTGCTTAACATACTCAAACAACAGAATTGTATGAATAAGTTATTATTCCACAGTAAAGCAAAATAAATGAATTTCAGATATACATTATACTTAGTTAAAAACCAATACAACAAAATATTCTTTTTTTTCATAACTTTATTTTTTCACTCATTTACAAATTAATGCATACGAAATTACAATGATGTAACTCATATTCGAACATTTCCCAAACGCATGAGTTCTCGACCGAATTTTTCATATAGTTCACCACCTTCCTAAAAATAGAAAAAAAGCAAACCTGAGGTTTTGTTTCTGAAGGAAAATCAAAAAAATGAATTTAAATAGTAATAGCGCTTTGTTTCAAGAAAAACGACCGCGAATACCAAAAAAAAAATCGAGAATGGTGAGTTGGCGGGTCACATAATACTATAAAGTGAATTTAAAAGTAATATGCGCCTTGTTTCAAGAATAATTTGAAAAAAAAACTGCTTACAATATCTGCAGTTCGAGTCAACGATCTAACAGATCAAGTGAAAATGTTCAGATATCATTCCGTAAATAATTTCTCCCATAAATTTGTCTACTAAAAATTTGAATTTAGCATATTTTTGACGCGTTACCTTAAAAGCTGCACTTGGTTCTCTCATAGTTAAGGCTATTCTTCGACCATGAATATGCTCTGGAAAGACGGCATGCTTCCATGAATAACGAATCTCATCAGACATACATACCATTGTCCTAACAATATTTTTTAAAATTGGTCTTTGCCTAGTGAAACTTATATAAATGCATTATTCAGACATTAATTGCCCTTTGATATATTATTACTAAATAATCTTTCAAACACAAAAAATGCAGTGAAGTGGATGAAGAAATTTGTTTCGGCTGGCTCTTAGATCCTATTTTAAAATCCAAGAGTGAAGTTCAACATGAAATAAAGAGTGATCTTCTCCCGTTAATTTTTAATTTTTCCAATTTTTTTTTCTGCTCCTTTTTATCCCTGGTTTATCTCTTCGAAAAATCTCTTTAACAATCACCTCCATGGCAAGGTTGCAGCTGCGAAGTCTCAGTGTAAAAATAACGCAAATTTTCAGCGCTACAACTAAACATACCTTCTCGATAATGGAACATAGATAATAAATTGTTTCTCGTCATTTGAATATGTCAATACCGATTTATTCAAGAGATTAACGCTAAAATTGCAAAGATCGAAAAAGGAAAGAACATGTTTAAAATAAAAATAAGTGGTAAAGGAAAGAAAAGTTATAATTAAATTCAGCTGAAAATGAAAAATTGAACACCTAAAAAACAGCTATGATTTGAAAGAAAAAAACACCTTTTAAACAAATTCCAAAATCATTGATGAGAAACTAAAAAAAGCTGTCACGTGTATATGAAGAAACTTGAAAACCAGAAACAAACCAAATCAGGCGTTCCCCCCAAATCCATGTATCATCGTAATGCATTTCAATGGTTGACCATCTATCGTCCCTATATTCCAAATTACATAATTCAAATGGCTGATAGGAACCAAATAAATCAGAGGAAATAGAATTCATTCTATTTAGTATTAAATCTATGTAACTCGGCATCCCAACAAAACGATCCATTTTTATTTTCTTATGTTTGAAGTTGACACGTGGACCGTAATCCTAAAGTAGACTGCATTTAAATTAAACGATCGACTTTTACCTCAGTTGTGAAATAAACCTAAACAAGGCTGGAGAAAGCGCTTCAAATAAAACAGTATCCTAATATCGTTTCACTCAGAGTTTGTAAAAATCCCTCAATTAAAATGCTTATCTTTAAAAACACACCAACAATAACAATTGAAGGATAAAAAAGGCTTCAAAAAAAACCTGTTTTCGACGTCCAGATTGTGAAAGCGCCCAATCGGTCTTATCAATTACCTCAACGAGGTTCATCTCCTCAGTTTCGGTAAGAAAATTGATAACAACATTCAAACCAGTAACAATCAAATAATCCTAAAAAATTGCAAACTATAATGGACAACCTCATATTATCTTGATTAAATTTGCAGTGCATACGTATGCTATAAAAATTTATCTCATTTAATAAAAGCTAAGGAATCAAATATATGCACGATTTTTTCTATTTACATTTTTTTAAAATGATTACCTCAGATTTGTTTTCATCTTTGTTTATTCTGTTAGCCGAATCATGTATATCAGCTAATGTTGGACGGTCAGATAGTGAACTATCGTGTATTCCCATATGGTAACGCGTAGAATAAACATATTTCTTATATTTTGCATACGGATATTCTCTACTTTGCGTCAAATTTGTCACTCTAAAATATTTTAAACAGTCATATCATTTATGACTATTTATTCTTTAATGGACAAACATTTTAATAATGCCACTACCTAGAAAATATTAATATCAATGGCTAACGAAACAATAAGTACTGCCTGCAAGTTGCTAAAATATATGTTGCAAAAAAAGACATATAGACAGATATATATCAACTAACTTAAATACTAATATTAGTTATTAGTTAAGTTGAAATAAACTGAATGAATCCAAGCCATTCTGCTTTCAAATTAAAAACTGATAATAATATGGAGTATCGATAAATCCGATCCTATATTAAGCCTAAAATTATACTGGAAAATAGGTATATTTTAGAATATATCAGTGAAATCACCAGATTTTTAAGATCACAATTTAAAAATCAAACTGCTATACCCAAAATACAAATCAACATTAATAATCCCGTACGACTTTCTTACGGATGACTTCCTTTACATGTATTAATATAATGGTTGCAAGAATTTTGTTCAACCTCAGCGTATCTTTACATACTGCACAAAAGCGAATCCCTTTACAACCACATTTTGGCTTCTCTTCCTCAATCGGTTCTGTCTGCACCATTAGCGTACCAATTAATAATCTTAACAGATCACACATTTAATTTTGAAATTTATGCACAAAAACCCAATACTAATGATCACGATTACATATAATCCATAAACTACAAAATTCCCACAAGTTATTTTGTAGAAACAACTATTTTCTGCATTGATTAAGTGAAATATAAAACAAATTTGCCAGCAAAATACTGGCATGCTAAACTTAACATTTGCTGCGTAAAAAAAAAAAAAAAAATCACAGAGATTCTAGCAGAATTCAATTCATAAACATAATGTAGTTGCTCAACTATTTTAAATATAATTTTTATGAAATTATGACAATAATATTACAGTGTAAAACGATCAATTTTCGCAACGTTATAATTTATATATATATATTCTTTCTGCAAATATATTAAGCTAAGAAATATAAGATAATTATGAACAAATATGATAATTTCAGATAATAAATCAAGATTCAACTGAGTTCAAATTTTTGAATCTTCCACTGAAGCTTTTTAGCAAAATAATTTTTATAGCAAGGCTTATTTTCACTGTCCCAAATTCACAAAATCTTAGTCGATAAAACGATGTCTAACGAATACAAAACAATATACAAGCAAAAGCAAAATTTGCTTCACTACTTATATTTTGCTAGTTATCGAACCCAATTGATGATATTCCCGTATCGGTAGCAATTATGCCTCCACTACAGCATCACTGAAATGCACAAGTCAAAAACTTAGATTCTCTCATGGAAAATATAATACACCACGCTATTGCTATTTTGAGTTTTCCTTGAATTAGAACATGGTAATAAGACATGCTCCTGTCGCAGAACATCAAACCTATTAAAAAGTTATTCACATTTATAAACGAAACACGCAAATTAGGTGAAGCAAGCAAACACGGCAATTTTTTTCTTTTATAAATAGACAATCATATAAAGAAAAAAAAAATCGAATTACAACTTGTTTCAACATAACACAAATTCCAGACAAAATGTATTTTTAGTTGGAATGCTGAATTTTTGTATATTTTAGCAACTGATTACCAAATATTAAAAGCGACTAAACTCATCAGCAAGTAAAGTTAAAAATTCAGATTTCATTTAGAACACTATATACTATTCGCCATTTTCTGGCACCTCACTAAAAAATGAGATACACTACAAATTAAACATATTATTAATTACCCTATTTCTTTTCTCCACATATTTTACGAATGAAAAAGCAGTAGTTCGAACAGATAGAATTAGAGAATCAACGGAATGGCAGAAACATGAGAATATTAAAAACCAATCTTGCAATGTTAAATTTTATGGGTTATTCAAAAAATCATAACTTGTCGGAAAACCGAGAACCAAATTCATAAAATTATATAAAAACATGGGATTTAAAAAGCTTACTAAAAACACTGCAGTTATAAAACACAATTCTTAATCGAATGAAAACAACATGTATACGAAATATTAAAAATGGATTATAATTATGACATTCTATTCCAGAAAATGACGACTGATGAATACAGTTTTTTTCGCTACTGTCTTTCGAGCCAACAAGAGACAGTGAATCGAAAAAGCTACAACCTAGACGAAAAGAAGGTATATCATAAATATAAAAGAATCAAAACCAAAGGTTAGAGAATTTAAATAAATAACTACTTTGGAATATTATCTATATAACTGATCAAAGTTTTAGATAAAAGCTGCATTCCAAAAGTTGCAATTTAAAAAGAGAATTTATATCTTTTTTCCTGCAACCTCTTTGACAACCACTCTATCTCGTTTCAAATAACAGGCAGGAATTGAAAATGGTGTATCGTTAACTCTTTCGTTCCCTCCAACACTGTCTAAACGCCGTCGTTTTGGTGAAGGATACGATAAAGCAGAAGTTGACGGAAATTCATGCAATGCATATTCATCGACTACCTAAGAGAAATGAATATTATGAATTACTGTACACACTCCAGCACCTGTCGCAATTTTTAAATTTTATACAGTCTTTCGTTTCAAACTCATGAAATGCTAAGAGTTCAAAAAATTAAACTGAAAAAATCAATATAACAAAAATTAGGAAAACAGAAAAGAAGGATAATCCAAAGACAATCAAATAAGTGGAGGCAAAACTCACTCCTGCTTCTATAACTTCTTCTTCATTTTCCATTCGAAATATGTCATCGAATATCTGCACAATTTTTGCGTCAAATCGTTGTTCCATCATGACAGTGGTGCGAGTAACTGCTCGTGTGACTTCTCTTTGAATAGCTTGCTGCACATCGAATAATAACTGATTCTTCAGAGCATTCATCTCTGGAGTAAGCTCAATCGATGCGCTGGGAGGTGCTATGAAGCTATAATTCAACGTTTTATACAAAATATAATATATCAATTATGACAGCATGATTTGCAGCCAAAACAATCGAATAAAAACAAAAAAGTCACTAGAATTGCTCTAGCATTTCAATCAGAGCAATTCTTACACATCACGTTATCATACCCAACATCAATATAAAGAGCAGCGCCGCCCCAAAATTTCTTACCATCTAACCATCACTTTATGCAATTTACGAGATATAAGAAAGAAGCAAGCTTCCCCCATGTCTGAACATATATCACAACGTCGTAGTCGCATAATAAAAATATCCAAACAGTTATTCTAAGTTCCATAAGAATAATAACAAAGATTAAAGATACCAAAAATTCAAATTAGATTAGTAACGAAACAATAAATCAACCTCTCATTGCCTTCAATCTCTTCATAACGACCAATTTCATTATCATTAACGCTAGTTTGGTATGCTCCCTCTTCTAGTTCCGCCGCTATTGCTGCTTTCTTTAATAAATCTCTCTGCCGGAAATATGCTGCTTTAACTCTTTCCCAAGATGGAAAAAGCTTTTGCAAAGTGCCGTGTATATTTTCATCTCCAGAAAACGATGCTTCTATTTCAGCCATTTTATCTAATCCCTGGAATATTAATTAAAATTATAATGATAACATTTCATTTTAAGATTAAGAAGTGTGCAAAGTAGTGCATAATATAATACATTAATGTTAAATAATAACTATCCAAATTTTGGATTAAAACACTTTCGTTGCTGGGGTACTGATCAGAAAGATACATAAAAAGACTCTGAAAATCCAGCACTGGCTGTATTGCTGGATTCTCGATTCGATCCAATGAACACTTATACTAATCATGATGAAATTAAACTGTTTAATAAATTAAACAAACTTCCGCATGGGCTTCTCGTGGATTTTTTTCACCTTTCCTGATACTTCTACGACACTCACGATCCAGATTTTGAACTAAAACGCTTTCTTCCGATTGTGGTTCACACCTCCGATGATGAAGTGGCCTATCGATTATTTCACCGTATTCTACTTTCACATAAGCTTGCCGATCTGGTCCATACAGACGTTTCGCACGGGAACATCCAAGACATCTATAATAGTACTCATATTATAACTTCTCCAATCCAACAATCTGATTACTCGCCTCAAAAAAAAGTTCTTATCTAAAAAATTTTTTCTCTCGGTCCATAAAATTTGATTTCCAAAAATTTTTTCAACGTTGAGCTAAGGTGATTATAATGCGAAATTTTAGAAATCGTAATCTCTATATATGAATGGCTTGTAGAAATACCCCACTACTTCACTGATAATTTTTTTGCAGGAATCCTAACTTTTTGTTGCAGATGACAGAAGAATAAAAGAACACAGTAAAAACGAGGGAATGAATATACTTCAAAATGTTCCACAAATAAGTTGATTACAATGTATTTCATAAGACTTGCGATTAAATAAATGAAACAACCTGTAATACGATCGAACACCATCTGATGATCTTTTCATAAATGAATACTGGCGAAAGCCTTCATTTTCTGGTACAGTAATAAGCGTTTCGTTCAAGTATTTCGAAAGTCCTGGCCGAGCTATCAGAATGGTATCGCTGAAATCTAAGGATTTCTCAGAGATAAAGTATACGCAGCATATTTTCAGCACAAAATCATATACTATAATAATGGATTCTTTCGAATTTTGAAATTGTTCAACTCATAACAAAAAAGGGAGAACAATACAAAAAGTCTTACCTTTCATCTTGATCTGCTGGCGACTGAGCCTTATCATCAGTCTGTAAACAATAAATTATGAGTTGATATGGAAAAATAAACATGCTCAGATCTTCTCGCCCCGTTGAGAACCAATTGTGAACCAAACAATGTGGGGTATGAGCTCACCATAAAAAGCTTAACCGAAAACAGCCAATACAAAAATAATGACCTGCTTTTTAAGATATCGACAAAGAGTGGGACTAGAGACATCAATGTCCAAATTTTCTTTGATCAATTTTGCTAGTTCCGTTAAACTGGAAACCTCTCCACGCTTGTAGCCTTCAATTAAGTCCCTCAACACACTGAAATGAGACATGAATTAACCTATTATCGAACACAAAGTGGTATTTTCAACTTCAATTACCAAATTTCCTAAAAATTCAGCGTAAAATAACATACGCCTCCTTGTCTTCCTCTTCCATTTCTATTGAGCCACGACACCTTGTCAGCAGACTGCAAAAGGAATAATTTATTCATATTTATAAAAACCAGTGAAAATTCTTTAATGCTAAGAGATTTTACCTCACCAGCAAAGATGAATCAGATATTCCAATGATCAGAACAATGGAGCATGAATACAAAAAGAATGAAAATATCTCTGGCAACTAAAATTCTAAAACATAAATGCAAAATTTCCTGTCCTCCATAATCTTTTCTTAATTTTATTTAAATCAATTCTTACCATCATGTTGTCATTATCCTAACTTCATATGCAAACATCATAGTACGTTTTTGAAATGAAAAGCAAAGAAATAATAAAACCTTTCGATGCATTTATTGATCGCTTCTTCCTCTTCAATTGATGGTTTCATCATATATCCAACGGTATCAAATGACCTTCCCCATCTCATTTCTTTGAAACGCGACTAAAATTTATACTACCTTAATCATTATATTTTTTTGCGCTCTACTTTTCTTTTATGAAATGTACATACATAGGCCTAAAACTCTGCAAGATTTGTTGTTGGAAATTGATATTTTAAAAAGATGACTTACGCTAGTTAATACACGCCTACACATGTTAAGTTGTCGCGCTTCTAAATCTTCTTGTGTCCTACGAAACACATCCACTGGTGTAGGAGTGCACAATTGATTATGTGTTGGAAATGGATCCGTCACGATGACGTTATCACGTATTTTAACTGTTGGCCGTTCACCCTGACCAAGCTTTTCGTAAAGATGGTCGCACGTAGAACACCGATAAGATGCGCTTCGACCCGTTGTACTAGTGCGGCGATAAACACGAACAAATCCATTATCTTCATAAACGGCTAGACCATTATCATTGCCACGGCTTGTTTTCACAAGCTCGAAATGCACATCATATCCAACTTCATCAACCGGTGCTGGTGAATCATCGGGTTCAACCTGAACTTGATATGCTGGGTCTTTCTCCACCTCACGTTTTATTTCCTTAAATCACGGCTATTATCCGTGATGATAATCTAAGCCAGGTTCGATACGTTTTTCTCCTTGTCAGCAGTTCAATTTAATTATTAAAATGATTTGAAATCACTACCTTTATGCAATTTTTTCAAAGCATAAGGAGCTATTATACCAAGAGTAATCAACAACTTATTTTGTAAGCTATTTATTTCGATTGTCTTCGCTATAAAGAGAAGGAGTTTTAGTGTTAGAAAAAATTCAGATTCCACCAAATTGGAAACCATTATCAAGTTTCTGATTTTGAACCACATCAAAGAAAAACAGGTGAGAAAAACACTAAAGAACCATCTATCATTACCATAAAATTCATTAGAAAATTTCTCAAGAATTTATTATAAATCAAAACTCATAAACAAACAAAAAATGTACTATGAAATTAAAAAAAAAAAAACAAAACAAAACCATACCCGCAATAATCTATTAGCGTATGTTAAAACAGTAGAATGTGAAACATTACGACCCAGAATGTCCGAAATTTTGTTGGCTGCACCTCTTGAAGTTATATCTTTGTTAATAAAATCTTCCACTATGCGTCGCACATCTGGTCTTTGCCACAGTGATGGATTCCTAAGGTTTTACATATATCAAACAATAATAGATTAGAATGAGATGTGCAAAAGGAAAAAGGACTACATAAAAAGTTTGTAAAACTGTATCGAATAGGATAATATTGAATCATCGTGATCTAGACAGTATACCACATCTCTGGTGTCATCATGCTATAATTCTCATCCTACGATAAGATTGGCAGACATAGTACTAAATGTAAATCTTCAGTCTCAAGTATGAATAAGGTAAATTTTATAACTATCGTTATAATGTTATTCATTTTAAATATATTTCGAAATATATTAAGCAATGAAATGTAATATTGTTATTGTAATCCATTTTACAAAATATAACTGAATACATAAAAAAACTGGATAAAATTTTCAAATTTAGTTCAATTCATCTATTATTTCAATTGTTATGAATGATGAAATAATTAAAAGATTTTAAATGTCACTTTCTCGACTGCTTTGTGCCATATGAATTTCCATCGCTGCTTTCGAAACTTTCATTTTGTTCTTGCTCAGCATTTTCTCCGTCAAACATATGTTCTTCCATCGCTTGGGTGAGCTTACTTTCCGTAAGCTTACTTAAATAAGCCTGCAAACCTGCTTTCAGTAGTTGCGTACTCTTGCACAAATATAATGCTGCACTAAATATTGCAGCATAAGGATCCGTTCCCCTCTTCCTAATTAAAACAGGAAATTAAGCTTCTGTACAATACTGCGTAAAGTGTTGAGAGTTGAATCAACGCTTTAAATCAAGTTTATATAATCAACTTCAAGCCCTAATAATTAGCATTACCGTAAATCACATCCCTGAAGCAATTCTAAAAGTCATTTAATAACAAAAGTGTGTTAAAAAAAATAAAACCTCTTTATCATTTTTGTCACTGCTTAGTGAAACTTTATACGGATTTAGGATACCATCATCGGTCATCGATGTTACATCGATGTCTGCATCCATATCTTTAGAAATCATCCAATCAGTTCCAAATATCAAACAACACAAATGGACGAAGAAAATACTAACAGAATTAAAATTTGCCTGAAAAAAAATGCTTACGAGTTACTATTTCATTTTGAGAACACAATATTTTCGAAATCCAAAGAACCAAATGAAATTTTAGTAAAATCTAACCTTTGAAGATTCAGAAAATACTAAAATGTTTTATCTGCTTCACAATCAAACGGTAGGCAGATAGAAATGACAAACCCACAATTAAATGAGATTTTGCAAGAGAAGAATTTGATAATTTAAGTAAAAAATTGTAATCGAAATTATAAATTCGGAAAGCTTGATCAAACATAAACATTATTAGAAATACCTAAAGGATGGATTTCTAGAGAGACAAAGGATGAATTTTTGATAGACGGGAAAAAAGTAACCGAAATTCAATGAAAAATGCATCCTCAGGTTTCTATATTGATAGAAGTTTCAGTCAGTATTTATGCAATCACAACATAATACACTAATATTTACGTATTCTCAATTATTTCATGCACTCACTCACTTTTATTGCTACCTTCCTCAGCTCAATCATCTTCTGCAATTGCTCAAATTAAAATTTCATGCATTTTTTCATTTCATTTTCTCTCCAATTCTTGCTCTAACTTTTACTTTATTTGCTTGTGCATTGATTTTTCCACTTTCTAAAATGTTCGCATTTATGGCTTAATCTCCAGCACCGCTTCAATCCAACTTAGACCATCGATCGGTAGTAACATAACAACAATGACAAAAATGCTACAATCCACACAGTCTCAAAGTTAACAAACCACGACCAGACGAAAATCCGTCCATAGCCTGGAATGAAAGACCCATCAAAAACCCTCGCTGGGCGACAATGACGTGGCCTACGAAAACCAACGAAAATAGCAATATCGCTACGGACCAATGATTTGGTCTATGTAACTTTGAATGTCTTAATATGAAATTGTGGTTTTGTTTTTCAGCGTTATAGGATTGTTCTTGTTTATTACATGTAAGCGTGGGTTATTGTTTACTATTGTATTATTTGCGCTCGTATGTGACATTTTCTAATAATTATTTCGATTCCAAATTTTTTTCCATAATTCATAAGTGAAATGTTATGGATGAGATTGGAAAGCATATATTTGCTAATTTTGAAATAATTATTGCTCTCATTAATCAGTAATTTTATATTTCCTATCTCTCATATTATGCAGCTTATTTAGAGGTGAAAACTAACGTTTTATTAATTTCTAAATGAACAGAGCATTGCTAATAATAAGATGACTATCAAGAAATGGATGTATTTTCAAAAAAAGTTGTATGATCCTCGAAATGTTTTTTTTTTCTATTTTTTGAAAGGAATATGTTTAACATTGGTTGTAATTGAATTTGCAGCAGTAAATATGCTTCCCATATATTTATTCGCATAATTCACAAGGAATCAAAACATTGGTTCGTATTCAATCTGCGATTGTCCTCTCAAGTATTGCACGATAGAATCAAACTTTATGGACTTTAAAAGGAAATTTCAATTAGATGGGGAGTAACGCCGAGATTTAACGGAGCAGGATAATTTCCGACGATATGAATACATTTTTGACGTGAAACTTCGTTAAAGAATAGTACAATGGCTATAAGCTATGCGAAAGCCTTATCGCCGTACGAGAATAAAGGTGTTCTAGGATTACCTGAGGTTTCCATCTTATTATTTTTTCTGGATGTATGCTTGGATTATCTGAGATTCTTTTGCTCGCTGAATTTAATGAAGTAATAGTGATCACTTTTCCACTTTTCTGAATTCAGTTGTTCTGTTTTCGATTATTTGCTCATAGTCACTCATAATGGTGTCTTGAAGTAGTATTTTTTTGAGTTTTCTTTGGCCATGATAGTCAGTGACGAGAATTGGATATTGGTCATCAATTGTTGATTTCCAAGTTTTTATCCCGCTTCAGTTTAGATTGCCGATGATCATCAGGAATTGAAACGAAAGGTGGATCATCTTGCAGAGCTACTTTTGGCTAGTCGTTGTTGTGTGCTGCACACAGGAGCGGGTATTAGTACTACAGCTGGTATACCTGATTTCCGCGGTCCAAAAGGATTATGGACTTTGGAGGCACGAAACGAACCAACTGATAATGGAATCAGTTTTGCTGAAGCATCGCCAACCTACACTCATTATGGCATTAATGCTCTGGAAAGCAAAAATATCGTCAAGTGAGAATTGAATTTATTTTTGTTTATTAGAAACTTGGGAAAGAAGAAAGATTCTGAAAGTTTTGGATTTGTAGTCAAAAAAGAAAAATATTCCTCTAATGTTCTTCAAACTGACTAAAATTTTGCAAATTTTCTTTTCGAGTTATTATGATTTGTGAAATTTTTTAAATCTTACTTTTTATTTAAAAAAATGGTTTTGAAAAGTAGATAAGCTTCTGTTCTTCTTCATGTATATTTATAAACAAAAAGCTTTCTTATATGATTTCAGATTTGTTATTACCCAAAATGTAGACGGTTTGCATGTTCGCTCAGGATATCCATTGAATCGTATTGCCGAACTTCACGGAAATGTATTCTTGGAGAAATGTATTAGATGTGGCAGGTGACCGGAATCTATTTTATTGAAGTCTAGTTTTTTATTAGAGATTTTTGTCAATTGTCAAAGTTTTTCTTTTAAACACCAAAGTACTTGCTCTATTTACATTATTGATGACATGAAAGTAAATGAATTTTTTACCTTTTCTCTCCATCTTCTATTTTTCGCTAGATATATAGTGTACCAGATGGTTTTTCAAAAAATAATGGCATTTATTTTAGAAAATATTATCGAACTGTACCAGTTGGAAGTATCGGATTAAAACCTACCGGGAAACAATGCGAAGGTACAAACAGTGGACGACCCTGTCGTGGAATGTTACATGATGTTTGTTTAGATTGGGAAGATCCATTACCAGAAGAAGATCTTCGCTCAGCAAAAGAATTCTCAAAGTTGTTTTAAAACTTACTCTCAAATTTTTAAGTTTTTAAGTTTTTTCTTTGACTTTGTTCATTTGAAATAAGCATCACTTTTGTTGAAAGAATAATAAATGTTGATTCATAGCAAGGGCCTTTGATGAGTAGTATTTTGTTTCTTTTATGTCTCTATTATAGCATATCATCCAATGGAAATCATGATTTCAATATCAGTCCTGCTAATTCATGTGGGTGATTGATTTACATCATATGCACTAATTCTTTTTATTGCTGTTTGTGATTGCAGAAATGCCGATCTTAGCATTTGCTTGGGTACAACACTCCAAATAACTCCTGCTGGTGATTTACCGCTTCTGGCCAAGAAAAATGGTGGTAAAATGGTCATCATTAATCTTTCAAAGACAAAACACGTAAATTTCAAATGAGTATGATTAAATTAGTGCATTTCTTTAATTATTGAGTTTTCATTGAATTTTATTCTTTTACAGTCATATAAGATTGAAGTTTGAACTTTTAGCTGTTTAAAAAAGCAAAGGGTTATTTAAGATTAGGGACTTTTGTACTGATATGTAGTTGTGATAAGAACACAAGAACTTTAATTTTCCTCAGAACGGCTAGTTTTAGTGATTGCTTCGAGATGGAGGAACTATATGGACTAGATCAGGTGGTTTTCTTAGTCAGAGAAAATTGTATATAATTCACGTATCTTCGATACATCAAAGAAATTTTTCCTTAGTGATTTAAATGTCATGTACAGTAGTTATGGTTATTTTAGAATAAATTTCAACGTTCTCTTTTGTATGGCTTTCCGAGAATAAATAACTTGTTCATTTGTTCTAATTATTTTTTAATTAAGGATCGAAGAGCTGACCTCATAATTAATGGACATGTAGATGATGTCATGCGAATGCTAATGATCACATTGGATATCAGTGTTGCACAGAAATTTAATCCTGATTTCGTTGTATCTCTTTCTATCCATCCACTGGAAAGGTTCACTAAAAGTAAGAAACGACGAAGACTGAAGCAGGAGAAGGAATGAAGGAAGAAATTAAATTATATTTGTTACATAGGACTGATATTAGCTGTCTGAATTTGTTGGAAATTGATAGATCTGCACTATTGTTAAGGATTTATGCTCATTTTTTCTGTTCTAAAACATAAAATAACAAGTCTATACACTTCCCAGAATATTATTTAGAAATTTGTTTTCAAGATTTTGCAAATCATTCCCATGTATATGCATTTTTAAAATTGAAAACAGTTTGATCCCATAAGACAAAACTGTGATAATTACAGGAAGTATAAATTTTTTTTTTAATAACATCGGAATGGATTAATTAAATGGAATACTGACTGTGTCATCGAAAGGATAGAAAGAGAAAAAAAGCTCAGTTTTAAGAACAATGTAAAATCATATAAAATACCCAAAATACATACAACACATTTTCATTTCGGAAAACAAATCGATGAAGATAACTCATTAAAAAAATGTTATTTTTGCAAAATGTTTTCTTTTCCTTTCTGCTCCTCCTCTCTTCCTCCATCTCTTTTTCATTAAACAAATATCACAATTTTATCGCTGAACTATGAATTGTAAAAGTTGAAATTTTTTACATGAATATGAGAATTTTAAGAGAGTTGAGTTCTATAAGAAGAAGTAATATGCTATATAAAATAAAACTTCTACAAGTTGAAATTAATCACAGTGATAAAAGCGAACAAATTGTGAGCGGGGAAATGGTTTGAATTCTCATTTTTACTCAAGAATTTTTTCCTTTTTTATCTAAAAATTGTACACTGAGAATTGCAGGAAACAAAAATTATTACACGCATTGCGAAAAATCGAATAATTAAAATAAGTATGCTTAAGCACAGTTTCGATGATCAATCGCCACCATTATATGCATAATCCGCTTTGTTGTGCATTATTAAACGATCTTCCACAAAATAAAAACTGTCAGAACGTGTTTCGTATGGGTTTGAAATCATTTCATTTACTGAAACAATTAAAATCTAATTTAATTCTTCAAATGATATACTAGTCAAAATTATAATGAAGGAATTATCTGATAATTGTCATTCATTTTGTTTCTATTCATATATTGATTTTTTGAAGGATGGAAATTACAGCAAAGCCTTATGCATTGATAAGTTCAAGAGATGTCATTTTGAGTAGCTTAAAGAATTTTTTACCTCATTATATACTAAACTTCCTTAATTTATCTTCTGGACAATTTGGTAAAAAAGAAAAAAGCTTTAAGATAAACATGAACTATTGTGTAAAACTAAGCAATGAATGGCTTACATCAATCTCTTTTTCAAAAGTGATCCATCTTACTTGAATTAACATTCATTGATTACCGAAAAAAAAGGACAATTTTCACATCTTGTTTTTCATCTATTAATCATAGCATTTGTTTGGTTTTCCACATCCAGAAATTTGATAAATCCTCAGAGATTATAACAAAGTATTCTACAAATTGAGCGAAACGAACAAAACGGATAAGGAAAAAAAAATCATCGAAAGTCAATACCATTTAGCTTGTAGCGAATGAATGGATTATAAAGATTGAGATTTATCGAATGCCCAAGAATGGAGAGGACAGAAAGAAATATGATGAAAAAAATAAAAGAATAAAATGAAAATAAAAGAATAAAATGAAAATAAA